TCGGGCCCCGGTGGCTCGGGCTCGGGCCCCGGCGGCTCTGGCTCTGGCCCCGGCGGCTCTGGCTCGGGCCCCGCAACTCCAGCCCGAGCGGGGCCCGATTCCTGGGGGCGGGGCTTGCCGGCGGCCTGGGAATCGGGCCCCGCTCTTGCTAAGGCTGGCCCTGGCCCCAAGCACATGCTTGGTAGGCTGGTGCCTGGAGCCAGCCCTGTGTGCGACCAAGCAACATGACACCATACTAAGGACAACACAGCTGGTAGGAGTTTGAACCTAGCACTCCAGAGTTGATTGGCAAACCAAATAAGCATCACTTATTTGTTAGTAGCAGAGCTCTTGTCTTTTGCTAACTAAGTATTATATACGACGAGGCCACTTCATCTTGCTCTTACTGAAGTCAATAGTGAAAACGCCACTTGAGTTCACGGGTGGATGCAGGACTAGCTTGTCAGTGACAACATTCTAATTTCCTCCTCTCAGGATCTGTCTGCACTATGGCCAAATTCAGATTCTAAGTCTCTTTGCCTTAAACAGGGGAAGAAGAATAAATCCCCACTGTGATGCCCAATGTGTCCCCAGCCACGTGTCTGAATTTCTAGACAGGGCCAGGTCCTTGAAAGCAGGCATCTACTAGGAAAGCCCTGGTTGGGATCCAGAATATTTTGGTCTAATATTGTTTTGAGAGTTCATTTGGGGGCAATTCTCATTTCCACCCCTTTAAAAGAGTTATTCTAAATAATGGGATATTGAGCCCCTGAAAATGAAAGCGGGATGCCAAGTCATCAGAGTTTCTGGCAGTAGATCTTCCATTTCCTTACTCTCATTAACTGGCTTTATAGGAAACAGAAGGGTACATTTTTGTCAGTCCTTGTCCTCATTAATCCCTGTTGAGTTAGTTATAGAGTCAAATGCCAGATCAAAAGGAGGCCCAGCAAGTCAGAGTTTCAGGGAAGTCTCCATCTGCCAGGCTCTCCCACAGGAACAGCTACAGGCTAATGGAGGAACTATCAACGGGGCATTTAGAGCGGAAGTGACAATAGGGACGGAGGGGGGAACAAAGTAAACTTCTCAAAAAGACTGCAAAAATAACAATAAAAAGTCTAACGGCAGAGCTCGGAGACTTTAACAGTGGGGAGGGGGATGTCTCACTTGCCAATCTATTTTATTATTCTGCCGCTCACCAGAAAAAATGTATTCAAATAAGGTCTAAACTGCAGCTTCTTCCAATGCAGGGGTTGAGTACCAGTCCTTATTAAATAAATAAATAAAGGCACAGCTCAGCATATCTGGCAAAACCTGAGTGATGGTGGAAATGTATGATTGGACAATCTGCTCCCTCTAGGAAGTAACTAATTTTTAGCAAACCATCCTAAAGCTTATTACAAAGAGCACGTGCTCCCCTCCCCATGCTGGGTAACAAAGGCAGCAGCAAAAACACAGACTGCAATGTGTTTAAATGAGAACATAAATTTAGGCTGGGAGTTTCGAGAGTGCCTAAGGGATTGTGATGCCCAAATCCAGTTGGGAGCCCAACTCCCTTAAGCTCCATGGAAAATCCCAGCTTCAATAGTTTATACTCAGATTCACCTCCTCTCCCCCTCTTCCTTTTGTCAGAGAATGAGGAACATACAGCACTTGTCCTGCAGGTTAACTTAGGCCACAGCATGCAGGGCCAATTTAGTGTCTCTCACCTGTAACAATACTACTCTTGACTATTTCAGGAGATGTTTGCATTGTTTTTTTTTTGCTTGCACACCCCCTTAGCCCCACTGTAAATACTGTGCATGCACAGGAGACCAGCCCTGGTGAAAAGAAGAGGACCTACCTGCAGGGTGTCCTGGTATCACAAGGCTGTTGGTGGGTAACGCTGGTGGTGGTGGTAGCGTGGGTGGGGTGGCGAACATGGCCGGATGGTGCTGGTGTTGGTGTTGGGTCTGCGATCTGAGAGGGAAGTGCGAGGTAGCAAGATTAGAGATGGAGAGGGGCAGGGCTGGGCCGGAAGAGTGGTGAGGAGGGATCTGGGGGGAAAGGGGAAGGTGTTTGGGGAGGCTGATGCTTGTTGCACTACTGGCGCTGCTGCTCCTGCTGTGGGGAGAGAAAAGTGGAGAAGAGAGAAAAGAAGTGTGTTACAATACAAGAGTCATAATGGCACAGTGTCAGAGACAGCCAGGCTCTAGAACAATGCATAGAGGCATGAAACCACGGCCCTTTATGCCCATTTTGGGGAGCTGTCGAGGTGGGAGTTAAAGATCTCAATGACCTTTCCCAACAGGGCAGGGTATGGCTCGGGTTCTTCTAGGTGACACTCCCTTTCATGACTGAACAGGTGGCAGCTCTCAGAGCTGTGTGTGAGCTGACTGAGGTGCTGTAATGGCAGCTGTATTTGCACCTTTATTTAGCCTGTGATGACCTTCCAATGGCAACGCATTCCCTTGTGATCACAAGGCTCGGTGACGGTTACTCTGTATGTTCCGAGTGCCGTGGTATGAGCTATGGCAATCATATTATACAGTGGTAGTGCACACAATCAATATGATATATCAGTATATATTGTATCATTTTAATTATATTATTTTTAAAAGATTTTTATTATTCTGTTGCACAGCACCTTACGAGCTTTGTTGGGGGTGGTGGAAGGGTAATGTCAATGCAATTATTATTATTTACCATATTCTCCCACAATACCCATGTCTTGCGATTATCTAAGCACTCTGAGATACTTGTGTGTTTGTTTGAATAGTGCCAATGTGATGTTGTTATTAAATATTTATATTGCGGTAGCACTTAAAGGCCACAACCAGGGAGGGGCCCCACTGTGCGAGGTGCTAGACAAACTGGTCGTAAATGACAGTCCTGTATCTTGTTCTTTATGCAGCTGAAAGGTTACAAAATGATGCAAACATTGTTCACTGAATTAATCTAATTCAACAGGCTGATCTGAGGGAAATGGTGTGTTTTTTGCACCAACAAAGGGACTGTCCATGTCCCTGTTTATTCCTGTACATTGACTCCCCTCTCGCCAAGCTCACCCCCATTTTATTTCTACTCAAGAAATATGAATCTTTGCATCTTACCTACTGGATGAAAATTATTTGAAGGACAAACTGAGTCTCATGCTAGCCCTACAGCTATGGTGAACATATTACTTTGCAATATCTTTTTTGCTCTATACCGAGAGTCGTACTCTGAGGCTGCTGTTAGGTGATGCATCCTCAGTTTGAACCGTGCTTCCTGCAAAAAGGTCCAAATGGGACATGGAATTTGGTTTTTTTCCAATACCCCATATCCCACTAGCTCTGGTGAACCAATTAAACTGCACCAATGTCATATGAACATACGTGTCCATGCCAAATCCAAAGACTGCCTATGGGTTTACAACTGGAGTCCACCGGGGGGGGGGGGGGGGAATGGTTTTGTTCGAACTCAAACTGTTTCCCAATTACTAAATCCTCTGCTGACCTGTTCTGATGGGAAAAATTGCAAATGCACTGGAAGCCGGACCACAGCCATACAACCCCTGTTCGTTGGGGAAGCTCCAGTCACAATCTCTTTCATGCAGCTACCCAACACAGCTGGAAATACATGGCTATGTGGTGTTGGCCTAGAGGAATACAATACCTCTCCCAAGCAGAGCACCTTTCCCAGGCAATGAGAAAGCCTATGGCCTATTCTACAGAGATTTTAATACCTTTTCAATTAACTGTACCCTGGAAGTAGGGTTTGAGTGCTTCACAAAGAAGCAATGCAAGCACCCCTTTCCCCTACCTGATATTGAGTCCGTTCTGGGCCACCTGGTGATGCACTTGGTAGCTGAGAGGGGGAGGGATGTGACTCTGAGGCTGGGTCCGAAGCTCAGGTATGAGCTGAGGCTGAGACTGTGGTCGAGGCTGAGGTTGTGACTGTGGTCGAGGCTGTGGCTGGGGTGTGAGCCTTGGCGGTGCTGGTGCTGAGATCACTGGCTCCTTCTTCAACAGCGGGCTTGCCCTGGCGCTCGACGTGGGCGCAGAAGAAGTGGAAGTCACAACAGCAGCAACTGGCTGGGGGCTGGGAATAGGCAGCACGAAGGGCACGTCGGTGCTCAGTTCCCGGCTGCGCTCTAGCCCTGACACCTTTGGGATGGTCGCTGCTTTAGCTTCAGGTTTATCATTCAAGGTTGGCCCTTACGCAAAAAGAAGAAGAAAAGTTACATACTGAAGCATCCCTGTTTATTTTCCAATTTTGCAGAATATTTGCTTGGTAAGAACAAAGTCATATTTAGCTTGTGGGAGTATCATCACAACACGATGGTATGTTCGTCTGTCAGTCTGTCCAGTACATGGCACTTGTTCAAGTGTGTGTAAAAGATCAAAGTGTTGTCTGGGGGTGCTTGACGCAAAACACATATAACCTTACTACGACTACAGAACACTAAATACAGCAGGAATGCTTCTCAAGTTACTGCTAATGCATTTCCCACCAAATTTAATTTCCTGGAATAGATGATAAATCCACAACCGTAAATCCGATCACAAGAGTTTTGGTTCATTTATTTTCTCCATGGTCTTTCAAGGTAACCTGCCTGGCATATCTTGCCATTCATAGCTATGGGGATGGTAATTAATCACTGACAAGAGCATGCTTTAACACCCATCAGCATGCTTTCTGAGATGAATATCAAGGCCTTTTATGAGAGAGAAGATGTCACAATGATTGTTCATTGGATGCACATTCACATATGAAGATGGAACATAAGCAGTCTCGGAAAACCTACAATGGGCACAGTAGGGCAGCGTTGTTCACCCTAAATGTTCTGTGGATATCAAAGAACATACTAACTGCTGTAACATATGCCAAAATCATAAGTAATACGGTAATGAATGGCTACTAGGTACCAATCAAAATGAGTTTCTTTAATGTGTTAAATTCCTCACAGATTTTTTCCAAGTAAAATGCTGAGTCTTCATTTTTCCAATGAAGTTTGAAGCTCAAACCAGTAGAAGGGATTAAATAGCAGCAGCAACAACAAAAAAATCATACCAAGGACTACAAAAAAAGGCCTAAAATAAGAAGAGAAACCACATGCAACATGCTGAATACTCAATTCCCAGAGATAACTCCCTTTTAACGTTATGTACATATCCCTGAAGTGCAGGAACGCTCCATAATTCATCTCAAGAGGAGCCTTCCATTGACTGAGTCTGTCGTTCATTTGCTTCTCCAACACACATGCATCCCATTAGATGTATAAGTGTTAGGTTTACTGTACATGTTTTTATATCAAAATAATTTTAGGGTTTTATTTATTATAATCTTCAGCCCACCCAAGTGTCGGAGAGAATACGACAGAGAAACATGTGAGAAAGGAACATGGACACCCACCTACGCATGCTCCCAACACTAACATGGACAAATTCCACTTATGAAATTACCTGAACTCTTAACCTTAAAAAGGGCCGGGTAGCACTGAAATATATTCATGATGTATGAAGTGTGAGAACAGCAGCACACAACATGCAGCAATTTCTGCATTACTTATTCTACTCTGTGTCTGATTCATCAGTGTCTGGCTTCAGTGACTTCACTGGAGTTACACTGGCATGAAACCAGAAGGAGGCAGTATTGAATCAAGCTCTCTGCTTCCCTGTAATATGCCAAATCATTTTGTATTTTTAAAACATACATCCAATGACAGGGTGATGTCAAATTATTTTCCTCCTTTCTTTGGTAAAAGCCAATTTCACACACACACACAGACCTCCAGAATACAGTGGGAGAAAGGCACTGAAATAAACAAGCTATTTTCATGAGCTTGGGAAGAGTTGTGACTGCGTATCGCACGAGTGGCAGAAATGAGTGGGAATTCCAAAGAAATTCCAGTGCTTTGGGTGGATCAAATGGTAGTTCAACCCCCTGTCAGCTGATCCCCATTTTGAGACAATCTAGAGATGTCCCAAATCAATTACTATATAAAGTTTTATACATAGTCAGTTTCACTGTATTTTTCAGATGTGATTTGGTTTATGGACTTAAAGATAATGGTAAATAGATTTTATTGTAGTTAATACTTAAAGTGATTGTATTTATTTCTGAAAATTTAATTTTCATTAATCTAACAGTTCATCGATTTTTATTAATACATCTAAATCCAATGGGTGACATCCTGGCTAAATTTAAGTCAATGGGAGTTTTGCCACTGATATCAACATGCCACTCAATATGCTTTTCAAAGGAAGCATATTCACAATTATAGATCCCATGGTTATCTAGAAGCATCCCATAAAAAACACTCAGGTTCCATTCCTTACCATAGGTTCTATGAAATCCTATTAGCTCATTCCATCCAATAGGCCTATTCAGAGTTAAACTTTAGACAGTGTAATTACAGGCAATATAGACTAATGAACACATTGGCACCATAAAAGTTAAAGCAGCTGCGTTAAAAAATAAATCAATTGGATCCAAAACAAATCAATGAGGTGTTATATTAAAAGCAGCTGTCCGACCAGTTTTATATACAACTATTGATTCCCTGTGGTTCCAGCATTAGATCTCGTTTGCAAGTTTCTCAAAGCAAAAGCCTATAGTCCCTTGCTGACTGAAATGACCAATCAGCTGTAGAATATAGCGGGTCACATGTCTAATTCTCACTGGCAACTCACATCTCTCAAATTGCAACACTGAAATGCTTCTCTGTGTTCAGTTTTTGTCTGATAACAATTCGAGACCTAATGAAAACACTAGGATACATATTTGTTTGCAGCAGGAAAGCAGCAGGCATGAGAGAGGAGACTCTCCTTCCCCACACCCCTATGTCAAGTACGAACATATAAGTATTTAGACAGGAAAGTTCTGGTGTGAGTTACAGAGAGAAACCCATATAGATGGGTCTAACTAGAATTGGTTATCACCGTTCCCATTTTTTAATAATTGCAGTCAGAGGTGACAATAAGCCAGTACGGTATGATACGGTGTACCAGCAAGACCCGGTACGCCGTGCCGGACTGTACTGGCTTCTCCGGCAGTGATTTAAAGGGCCCAAGAAAATTCCTGGCCAAAACTCCCCCTTCCATTCTTGATCTACATGTGTGTTCACGTACATTTAGGTGGCACAGTAGAACTAAATGAGCTTTGTTCCAACTTCATTGAGCTCTACTAGAAAACTGTGTTTTTATTCTTGTAAGTGATTTCATTGTCCATCCAGAACAATATCCAGAACTTCAGAGCTTTCCTCCGCAAAACACCTAAAAGACCTTCCACCTCACGCTCTCTTGGCTAAGAGATTTTTTACTTCTTCTACACAAGTTGCCTTCACTTGATCAGAGATGACTGCTGTTCACATGTGGAATTGTTCCTTGGGCCTGTTATATCTTCTTTCAGACTTTCTGCACTGGGGTCACATACCTCAGCCCCCTCTGATCATACAGACCTGCATAACCAAGCCCGGCCTCCCGTAACAAGACCTGGATTCACCATAGCACACTGGAACATTCTAGCAACAAAAATGTGTTTATTTTTACCAAGTCCTAGAGTAGTTAATTTTCATGCTTAATGATAACAGGCTGAGCCAATTTGCCTAAGACTTGACAGTCAGCTCCAATAACTCAAGCTTAATTAAAGCTGAACGCATGTCAGTTCAGCTCTTCCTTTCACAGGAAATCTGACATTTACAATGATTCATGTTTCAGCCATGCTATGTAAAGGCTGGAACGCATCTGCCATTCCCCACCGTGCACGTTACCTCTTTTCAGTATGCCAACTTTGTTTATTTTCTAACCACGCACACGGGACTTCTGCCACGAAGAGCGTTTTCTTCTGTTAATAAGACAGTTAAACACACCTTGGTTCTTGTGGGGTAAGTGGAGAAAAAGAGAGGACACGATTGAAACTGGTCTAACGAAGGAAATAAAAATGATCTCATTTTCAGTAACTCTTGTCTGCCTGATCACCTGCAACTGTTACTTGCAATGTTGCAAAATATCAACAGTGTGCTAACCTCACTATTCAGATTTGACTTGGCTAAGAAGAAAATGTCTGTATTTTTAAACAGTAGTGAGGGCTTATGCTATTGCTTTCAGGAAATCGGTGAGCACATACAGGATTATCGATTTAAGATTCAAAAGTCCTAGAGGGACAGTCGACCAACACACACAACTGATTGTGCAGTGGAAAGTAAATTCCTGAAGGGTTTATCTGAGCCCAAATGAACCTGCTGCACACACTTGATGTAAAATCCGATTGGATTTAAAATCTGTTATGAGAATAAATTTTTTTTAAAAATTGCCTCTCCACCCAACCCCGCTGGTTGGTATACACCATTACAGACTAAATACAATACAAAAAGTCCCAAACACAAATTAAACCTGTTCTATTACAGGAATTTGCTTTCAAGCTGATTAAGTGTTGCTCAAGTGCAGGGGATTAAATCTGCAAAGTCTGCTTTGAGGACTCCAACAGGTGGCTGCTGTTATACAAACAGTACTTCGGGCAATAGCATTTCCAGACCGGCTGCCCTGCGTCTTGCTCTTTGTGGCTGCGGAACTTGTCAGCACATATATGACATGACTGGAAATTATCTCATCTCGTTTGCGCATCTTTCCTTTGTTTCTTGAAATAAGAAAGTGGTGTCATTTGGACGCGCTCTCTAGCCCTCTGCACTTGCTTTCTATGTGTTCCAAACATAAAGATGGTGGGATAACGTGAGAGAGAAGTCTCCAATCCTCTCCATTCCAGGGCATTTTATAAAAAAAATCCAACAGCAACCTATTTTAACCTAACCGCACATCCATCACTCCACTCCCATCTTTCCTGTAGAGCACAGACCTAACCCATGCTATTACTAATCCTGAACCATACAAACACCATGGTTACTGTAACTGAAGCAAGCAATGTGTGGAAGCATAGCAACCAGAGTTAATGGGACATATATATTGAAATGAGTTCATGAGCCACAGAGGTGAGCTTTTGAACTCATTGAATTAGGAATCAGTCAAGTAAAAACAAGATTTTCAGCAACTGGAATGAACAAAGAAAATATCCAAAGGACGAGCTTATTTAATCAAGCTACACCACAATTTTTAATTAGTGCTTTGTATGTGTACAGCATTATGTGTGGTGGATATGTAACATCATCAGCATAAATATATACTTATAAGTGTGTGGTGTGGTGGTGCAACGCATTTT